TCCCGCCCATGGGGGTCAACAAGCTGTTATGGAGTCTCGCAGGGTTTGGGGGTGGGGCTGGGAATCAGCTGCCTGAGTGAGGGGTGAGTCCCTGCCCTGCACACATACACTTGCAGTGCAAGAGAGACAGACAGACGGATGGATAAGCTGGTAAAACTGTATTTTATTTTCTACCAAAAAAATTCAAAGAAAACAATGACTGTTTTCACTGAAAAATTGAACAGGAATTTTGGGTGGTTTTTGTCTTGTTTTGTCAAAAAAACTGGAACACCCACGACCCCCAAACCTGCAGGTTTTAACAACCAAATAATAATAATACTAATTTTAAAAAAATCAGTTTTCAACAGCCAAACATTTTTGGTTGTCAGCTGTTGGGTGGGAGGGGGAAGGAAATCAGGGTTTTATTTTTTCAATATGTCCCTCTTTTATTTTATAAAAATGGAAAATTTCCATTTAATCAAAAAACCCTTTTCCTTAGAAAATAGTTATGATACTCATTTTTCAACCAGCTCTAACAGACAGAGATTGCCGATGAGAAGGTAACTAGTAGATGTAGATGAATCAGAAGTACTTTACTCCTTGAACCACAGGTTCCTGGAGCTCAACCATGGCTAAGTCTAGATGGGATAAGGTCAAAATTAAGCAAGAGGAAGTAAAATCCCCCCCTGGGACTATCTATAGTCTGCCCATACACAGATTGTCCTCATGAGTTTGTTCAGTTAATTTTAGCTGCAATGTGGCCAGTCCAAGAAACACTGAAAAAGAGCAAGTTCCCTGCCAAATGGCTTTAACTTCACAGCCCAGGAAATGTTTGCCTGTTTGTAGACCGATAACATGTCTCCCAGGCCCAGTGTAGTCTGCTGTAAATCCCTGGAACGCGGCAACAATGCTGCAGCCGGCCAGGCATCAGAGGGGATGCTGTAACACGCAGCGAGAGCTGGGCTGAAGGACGGCATGCTGGAAGAGGGGGCTCCTGTAACTGTGTGGTAGGTGAGTTATAGGGGAACTTAGCTTCCCTTCTAGCATCAGAACTGCCTCTTTGCATCAGGCCCTGAGGTCTCCACTTGCCCCAGTTCAGAAAAATATCTTCCCTTGCCAATGCATCTTACATCCCCACTGCCACTAATGTGGTTCTGGGGGAATTAATACGTTGGTGGTTGGTTAAGAATAAGCAAGCGTCCTGATTTGAGAAATATTGTTCAAGTTAAAAGTTGACCTGAAAAGAACCCAGCATTAAAACTAGTCAGCTAATGCTCCCTGGATTCAATCAAAAGGGGTTAGCCTATTAGATTCCATTCTCTATTGGCAATAACTCTTATCCAATTGGCAAACCTCGCTCGTTAGATTTCAGCTTTAAAATCTAACTGGCTCCCTTCCGCGCTTACAGCCGGAACCTGCCCACTTTGCAGTGAGGAGGCAGGCGACATTGCTTGATGGCTGATAGCAATCTCACAATTCCCCCTTGTGTGCCAAGAAGGACAGACAAGTTCTACCACAATTCACTGGGAAAGATTCACAGAGCAGCTTAGCTTACTGAATGTGACCCTGGGTGACCCTCAGTGCCAACTGGCGAATGGCACACCATACCATAACTCTCATCAAGTCTGAAACTGCCCCAACACACTGTTGTCATAATGTGTATCTAAAAAGTGCCGTGTAAGCTATTGTGCTGTAACACACTGGTCATTAATATTATTGCGTGATATAAGTATGGACGATGTATAAAGTATTATAGATGCATGCTGGAAATATGGTCTTAAAAAGGTGTTTTGCAAGCAGACAAAGGAATATTGTTTTACCTGTTTTCCTGTGTCCCCAATGTAAATTGAACTAGGTAACACCTCAGAGGAGAATGAAAAGTACATCTACATAGAAGGTAAACACAGTGTCAAACAGGATTTACATGCAGCTTGCTATAGGACTGAGGTTCTCGCTCCAAGCACTGGTATACTACAATTTTAAGTGATTTGTAAATGAGAAGGCTGAGGACAGTCAAAGAAAGGTTACAGTTTGACTATTTGTTTTTTTTTTTGGTAAGGGAAACAGAACAAAAGAAAGTGTAAAAACATGTAGACTGACAAAAATAACAAAAGTAATGCAGGGCAAAGACACAGCCCCCAGTGAGTCAGCCAGCCATGCAATTCCAGCCGGCTCAGATAGAGTTACAAAAGCTGGAGACAGCAGAGTGGATCAAAAGATTGGAGATGGCTAACACAGAGATGGACCAAGAGCACCAAAGATGGGAAGCAGACCAGAGGGCCAGAGAAGCTGACCTGAGAGCCAGGGTGAGGGAAGCAGAAAAGTAACAGCCGGAAGAAGCACACAATGAACCAGAGGGGAAAAGTCCAGTGGTCTAGTAGTGCAGAACTCGGAGTAGATGGATTTGGGGAGACTTGGGACTGGAAGGGCTGTTGATGTCACCTGGCAAGAAGTAACTAGGCTTGTGGCACCTTTATGCTTTTAGACTGGCTACCGGAGTCAGGGCTCGGAGCCATAGCAGCACTGTATTAAGACATCTAAGGTTACACAGCAGCTGTGACAGAACCCCAAAAGGTCACACTGCAGCATGGAGAACCATGGGCTGTGCCCCCAGAAGTCTTAGTGCCACACAGAGGGGAGCGCCGCTCCAGTGAGGATATGGTAACTTGGGTTGAGCTTTGCAGTGTGGCAAATGATACCTGAGCTGGGCAAAACCA